GATACTCGGGTTGCCTCTTCTTCTCTTAGCGCAAAACCACCATCAGTGGCTTCAGCGACGGCAAATCATGGGTGTAATAATCCGCCTTGCTGTCCTTCAGGAAACTCCCGATCGACTTGCACTCCAACCTAGAGGAGCACATAATTTTCGTTCCGACACTGCAGATGTTAATCCTGAAGCTGTAGGTTGTGATCTGTCAACACAGTCCTCAGCTAGGCGACATACTTCATCGAAGTGAAGAGCGGAGGAATTCGCTCCTTTTTAGTGATGGAAACATTGTCTTCCTCGAGTACCGAGAACTGGTTGCTTTGCAGCACACGATTATCAGCGTCGTCCGCTGACGCTCCGGTATGCATTCCGGGCTTCTCCGTAGGCTCCCCTACTGCTGATGCGCTAGTACGCTGCAGTACCATTTGTTGTTTTTTGACGAGTTGAACCAAACTTGCCAGATCGTGTGACGATGACGACACTTCCACGGCGCGAAACTAAAAATCGAAGAACGAAACAAACTATAACCGAACAAGTCGATCAAGCGACCGGGAGTTCAAAATGAACTGAACTGCTTGACGGCCAAGCAGAGAATGAATGCGTTCAGTAGCGGTTCAGCTTCTTCCTCCTTCTTCGGTGAATGCAGTGATGTCACATTCTATTCAATTTCAATCTGTATTTACACCATAAAAAATCTTTTAAAACTTCATCTGGCTGACAAAAATCGGTAAAATAATCTGTATAATTTCTTTATTACGATCTTTGTGCGGATCATCCTAAATCTCCGTTGAGTTCATTCAAAGTTCAGTAAGTGTTTGTTGAAAGTTTAGAATCATGAAAAATTATTTAACTTTGCTTTTTAAAGATTTAATCTGTCTAAAACATCTCGAAATCCTGGATCTTGATTACTTTTTTGTGATTTGTAGGTTAGTTAAATTGGATGTTTATTCCATGGAGTCCTCGATACGATCGTGTACAGTCTTACATCCGGTGGCTCGATGTAGGTCTTCTATCCTCGTGTTGTACGGAGCAATCATGATTTTGGACTGTCTGAAGCTTTCATTTGTGGGTCCAGGGCATGATCCCCACAAAGGCACTACGGGAGCGAGGATCATTTTGAACACCAACATCTTGTTCTGCTGTGAAATCTGGGATCGTCCAAATATCAGTGAATAGAGCGCTTTCAGGAGACTAATGCACCACTGCTTCAGCTTATCCCTGCGTTCACGGTACAGTCGATATCGTCGGTATCGTCGATGGTAACACCGAGGTAAAATACGTTGCTGATCCAGTTGATGGGAGAGCCGTTCACAGAGACGTGACAGCCCGTTGGTGGGGACATCTTTGGCGATTTTTGATGCTTGAAGACAATTGTTTGCGTTTATGCCTCGTTGACTTTGATTTCTCAGCTGGTGAGATAGGAAACATAATTTATCATTCCTCGCTGCAACCGGACTCGGTAATCCTTAGGCATTCGTCCATTTGCTATTATTGCACTGTCATCCGCATATAACGCCAAGCTACAGCTGTTGGGGAGGTGTGGTATGTCAAATGTGAAAATGCTGTACAACATTAGCACCAACAAGTTGCCTTGTGGCAGTCCCACTGGAATTTCATGGAGTTCAGAGTTGGTTCCGTGTAGATGGACTCGATAACGTCGTTCGCTTAGGTTCGACGCAGTTCGCATGCACTAGTTTGTGGATTAATCCGTCGTGCCACACGTTGTCGAAGGCTTTCTCCTGGTCCAGTAAAGCCATGGTGGTGTTCTTGGAAATTAATTTGTTTCGTTTAATAATATTTTCCACTCGGATCAGCTGATGGACGGTGGAATGTCCTTTCCTTAAGCCGAACTGCTCCGCGATAATGACTTGGTGGTCTTTGATGTGCTCCATCAGTCGCTGAAGGATTAGCCGCTCGAAAATGTGGCTCACCGCCGACAACAGTGTGATGGGTCTGTAGCATCTCGTGAAAATGCCGGCTAAGAAACCGTAGGCTTTGCTGGACAGCTTCTTCAGGGTCAGGTTGAAAATGTTATCGTTTCCTGGGGCCTTCATATTCTTGCCACGCTTCATGGCAGCACGGACGAAACTCGGCCAGCGGGAGGGACATCGTAGATTTGCTATTCAAGCTGATTAATTGTTCTCTGTACCGCATCTTCGTGTGGGCTGGCCATACTGGCACCGATATGATGTGCCAGAACCAGCTTGATGGCGATGGTTTCTATCTTCTCTTGAGGCGAGATCTGCATCGTCCTTCAATGGTGGTATCGCTTCAGAATTTCCAATACTTTCCAGAACGGCCTTGAGTGGTCGCCCATCTATCCGATTTCATTGGAGAACAGTTCGTTTCTTTCTTCTGTAGACAGCTAGAAACTGCCGTCGGGTTGTGTTGCGTTGCTGAATGAGTTGCCGGGTGTAGGGGTCAATCGTAGTAAATTGTCGCCTCACCGGAATACAGCGTATACAGGCTTCTTCTACGACGTGGATTGCTTATTCTGGGGTTGGATGGCTTCCTCGAACACCGCCAGATGGTTGTTGATACTTACAATTGTTGGTAGAGCTGGATTAGCTGTAAGGTGGGTGTCCAAAATGTCACTGAAGGCCACCCAGTTGACTCGATCGTAATCCCGTATCATTTTTGGCAGGCGCTGGAGTTGGTGTGTATTCATAGATCCAAGTCCGATAGGAACACGTCAAGGGTTCTTGTCGCTCCCGCCGGTGACAAGAACGTTGGCTCATCTGGAAAGCGGATGATGCACGTTCCAAAGCTGAGGTGGTCTGCCAAGATTATGCCATGTTTATTGCAGACATGGTTACGCCACAGTGTATGGCGAGCATTTAGCTCACCAGCTACCACGAAGCTGATCCTATTGTTGATAAGTTTGGCGAGGTGTTCAGCGAAGAGCTTGTAAGTGCCATTGCTGTCCTCGCACTGACGGGGCACGTAGACGGCAAACAACATAATATTACCTTGAGGGATGTGAACCATAGCTTCTATAATGGCCGTCTTTGGATGGGGCAGGATATCGTAACGGATGCCTTGTTTGATGAGTATGGCAATGCCATATTAAAATTTTATGAAGTATTACATTTTAAATTTTAATGTTCGATGTTTAATTTTCTCAAATAAGTCACCATATTTAGTATTTGGTAACTTGAAAGGATATTGAACTCGTTTGTTGTGGCTCGAACCAATACAATATTTGTATTTCTCTATGTATTCATACATAATAAACAGTCATAAACTGTAATCAATCAGTTTGTGGGTTGTTAAAACGGCTTGTTTACCGATTCGACAAATTCAAAATTAAATTAACCATAGTAGGGGAAACAGTCCTATTGTTGCGATACGTTAGAAGCGTTAGGAGCATATTGTTGTGTATTGAGACCTCCACACACAGCAATAGGCTTCTAACGCTACAAACGTACCGCAACAATAGGACTGTTTCCCCTACCCGATACCTTGTGATATGATTAATTAAACAATAAGAAAGAAGAACTCACATCCCTTCTAACGGGAAATAAGAACATCTGAACATCAGAAGTCGGATTAGAATTAACGAAGATAATAAAATAATACTTTATTTAACGAAAATACGATTTGGGTTTGGTGCTCGTAGCTGCTCAAAAGGAAGAAACTATTATGTATCGGAATGAATTAAGATAATCCCAATTTAAATATAAATCCTGCTTATTTGAAATATCAGAAAAATCTGTAAATTAAAAAAAAATCTGTAATCTGTATATACAGATATCTGTATCAAAATATCGAGAAAAATCTGTATGATTACAGATAAATCTGTATATGTGACATCACTGGGTGAATGGGCGTTCATGTAGACTGCAGCTCGCAGTCGTTCGTTGTGTACTGGAGAACAAAATTTATAGCCACGGGCCGAAAGCACTGCTGCTGCTGCTGCTGCTGCTGATGATGACACCACACACGGTGATTGAATAAGCACCTTTCGGTGAGACGGAAGAAAGCGCTTTTTATAGACAATCGGTGATAATTTTGATCACCATTGTAAAAGTTGGACATTTTTGTATGTTTAATAGTGATTAGCAGCCAGCAGATTTGTAGAAAAATTTCCAATCTATTGGTTTGTTTAGAACTACAATCCATCGCCTATTGGCAGAGTTATATGTGGTCAAAACCTGACCACTTTTCGCAACGCAGTTAATTTTAGTTTTTTGATGTGTGCACACAAAAATGAGAGCTTTTTTCCAATCTAAAGTGATGGCTCAGAGAAAATCTTTTTTGAAATTTTCATTTACTCACTACACACTTAGAAATAAATAATTTTACACATGATAGAATCCATCTTTGACATAAAAGATGCGACGTAAACAAACATGTCATGTAAAATTAAGTGCTCCGAGACTGAAAAATGTGTTACTCGTTGAAAAGTGCGTGTTATTGAGGTGATTTTTACGTCTGTTATGATTCAATTTTATGTCAAAATTGACGCTCGTAGCTATCAAAAATTGTTATAGATAAATATCGTGAATTGTTAGAACAATGTTTGCATTTCCCATAGTAATTCCCATTTAAATTTCAAATGGTTTGTGCACATTCAGCTTCTTATCTAACTAGTTAAAATTTTAGGGACCCGATTTGGAACCGTTTAAGCACCGGGGAGCAAAGTTTTCAAATTTTGCATCAGGCTATGCTATACTCATCAAAGCCTTAATCACCCTGCTAAGAGGATCGCTCTTGAATCAACCATCACCGCAGACGGAGCATTTCATCACCAATCTCACCTGAGCAAATTTCACCTGTGTGCTAGTGCAGTCTCTCCTATTCAAAAAGGTGCCCGTCCGTTTCGAGGTATGGAAGTTTTCGAATCAATCTTCGAAAACACGAACCCCCCTCACTAAAGAGAGAGAGAGAGAAACACCCACTGATCGGTGATCACTGCTAATGGCCCAGCTCAGCCAGCCGCGTTCGTGCCGCGGCCATCTCAGTCGCGAACGAACCGTGTAGTGTGTCAGTGGTGTTTGGTGTGACAGTGTGGAAACTCGCGAGTGCGTGCTTCCAGGTGAAAATTCCTCTCCGGTTTGGGCCCACTCTCTCGTATTGCTGCTGAGAGAAAGATTGCATTTTTCTTCTTTTTTTTTTTGTTTCTGCTACGAAAAAAAAACGAGAGCGAGAACGATCGCGCACCGGAACAACAATGATCGGCAGTGACTACGTGCTCGAGGCGCACAATATTTACCATACAACCGAGGTTAGTTGGGGTTTCGGTGCAGTCGGACAGTAATGGCAAACTTTTGGGTGAAGTTACCTCTTTTTTTTCTGTTGGGCTGAACCGATTGTAGTGGGCAAATGATGTTTTGTTTACGCCTGGCAAGCGAACGTGATTCGCCTAATATTTTGAGGTTCGCCGCTTTACGTTGCGTCCAGGTCACTTGGGTTGGGAAAACTGTTTTTCGTAGATCAGAAGTGTAAACAAACGATGAAATTTCCGTCTGATTGTAGGTTGACACCGGTGGTTGCTTCAATGGCGGTGCCCAATCGGCACTGGTGCTCAAAGGAGTCCACCTGACCGTTCACAGCGGCGAAGTGATGGCCATTCTCGGCTCGAAGGGAAGTGGAAAGCGAGCCCTGTTGGATGTGATTGCCCGCCGTTCGGAAGGATCATCCCGGGGTCAGGTGCTGCTCAATGGATCCCCGGTGACCAAGTCGCTGTTTCAGCAACGCTGCGGCTATGTGACGCACTCGTGCGACTTCATTCCGGGCTTGACGGTGGCGCAAACCTTGAACTATACTCCCACCATTTTGGGAGGCTACCTGAAAAGTTCCAAGGTTCGTCAGGTGCTAGCGGATCTAGCTCTATCGCAGGTGTCGCACAAGAAGGTCGAAAATTTGAACATCAGCGAAAAACGACGGCTGGCCATCGGAGTCCAGCTGGTACGGGATCCGGTGATGTTGCTGCTGGATGAACCAACGCAGGGGCTGGATCCGTTGAGTGCATATCTGCTGATCAGCATTCTGTCCAATTCGGCCAAAAAGACCGGCTGTGGGATTTTGCTGTCCATGGAGAAGCCACGGTCGGATGTGTTTCCGTTTTTGGATAGGTAGGCAGGGTCGTTTGATGAAATGAAGAAGACTGTGTTTGATGCGTTTATTTTTTTAGAGCACTGTTCCTGTGTTTGGGAGGTGCTGTCTACTCCGGAGGAACCCGAGCGATGTTGGAGTACTTCCACGGTATTGGATTTCCGTGTCCGCAGCTGGAGAATCCTCTGATGTACTATCTTTGCCTGTCGACGGTTGATCGCAGGTTAGTCATTTTTTTATATATTCTTTATTACAGAGATGTTTAGCCTGCGGCTAGTTAATCTCTATCGCAGGTTAGTGGATTGGGGAATGATATTCGTTATTATGCCATTGTTATTGTTTTGGTTTTTGATAAAGACTGTTCATTAATGAAAGTAGACACCTGTTTCTCAAAGGAAAATATTTATTTTCGAACAAATTCATAAGTTTACTTTAGATAAATGAAAATCCGCATACATGTGACCGAATAGTGAGACCTTCAGAAAATAATAGAGAACTTTGAGGTAGTCCTAATAACTTCTCAGTACTGGAGCTTGGTTAGTTACGGCTTTGTAGCCTGGTAATCCCGGGTCAAACTACAATTCATTCGTTCTAATCCAGGATTACCAGACTGCAAAGATAATTTGAGAAAGTTTAAAAAAGTTCCGTGAATTTATGAGAAGCTTCTTGAGCAGACTGCCGGAACATAAAGCAAGTTTCATAAACTGCTGGAAATTTTTTGGGTTCTTCTAGGAAGCTTCAAGAACTTCAAGAAAGTTTCATTAGATTCAGAAAAACTGCAGCAACTTTTGAGAACTTCAAGGATATACTAAAACTTCCAAAAAGGCAAGAAAACTGCAGAGATGTCCCGAGAACTTGAGGAAAATTGTAAAAACTTAAAAGAAGTTCCAAGAAGCTATAGGAAGCTAAGTTCAGAGATCTTCTGGAAAGCTCAGTTGCAGTTCCAATAACTTCACGGATATTCCAAGAATTAAAAAAAAATCAGGCTTTTGGGAAATTTTAACGAACTGTAAGGGTAAGTTCCAAAATATTCAAGTCAGTTCCAAGAACATCAGAAATATTCCAGGGAAGTCCAGAGAAGAGAACTACAAAGAAGTTTAGGAAACTTAAAAAAATATTTCACGAACATCAAAGAAGAGCTTCAGCGATGATTATAGTTTACCGGATATTTCCATTCATTTGAGAGATTCACAGAAGGTCTTCAGGAAGGTTTTGGGAACTTTGGGAAAATTCCAAGAACATCAGAGAACCTTAGGGCAGTTGAATTACCTCCAATGAAATTATAGGAAATTTCCGGAAACTTTAGCAAAGTTCCGAGAGCTTCATGTAAATTTCGGAATCTTCAGAGAAGAGCCACGAACATTGGCAAAATGCGAGCTCATTTTGAAGGTAGTTTCGATAACTTTATGGCAGTTTCGAGAACTTCTGAAAAAATCCGGGAACTTCAGCGAAGTTCAATAAACTACAAGGCAATCTCTTAAGTATCACTGTATCACTCTACTGTATCACTTTCACACTAAAATTCACTATTCCCTGTAATTATTTACTTTCACTATCACACAAAAAAATATTAACAGATACGTATTTCGTTTGCTACTTGCAAACTTCTTCCGCTTAAGTCATAGACTTGTAAGTAGTAAACAAAATACGTATGTGTTTTTTTTAGGTGTATAGTAAAACTGAATAGTGCATTAGTGAAAATGTGAGTGATAGTAGTTGTTGCGAAGAACAAAACCAAGCACTATTCCTGATAGCAACTTTATTTGTTAATTGCTTCAAGCTGAAAACAGTTTCAACATTAGTATTTATGCCTAGTAACCGATATAATTTACTTACATTTAATAGTGCATTATTTTTACAAATTCTTCTCATGATGAATCCAGTTTTTACCTTAACAAATCTGCTGGGATTATTATAGCAATATTACATCTTTAGCACACATTTTACTTCATAGGTAACCTACCGATCTTGAATGGTGATGGCATTTAAATTTACTAATGATGGTATTTTTTAAGCATCAAATTTCTGTAGGAAATTAAGAAATCATTAAGAATACTTAATTAATATTCAATTCCACTGAACTTCTAACCTACCAGATCATTCAGATTATTTGTCTCGTTTGTTTAAGAACACTTCAAGAGCCTTATATAGGAATAATTTAAGCTGTAGTTTAGAAATATGACAATAGGCATTAAGTAATTAAATTGAATTAGTCTCAACTTATTTCTGATAATAGATTTAAAGGAAATCTAGGATTCTAGTATAGCACAATAGTTTCTAAATCAAAACATTCCAATTTTGCTTATCATCTATACATTTGGATCATCTATTCATTCGGACTCCTATTGTCCTTATCTGTCAACTCTGTGCGCGCCTAGTGTTGGTTGAGCGAACCTTCGTTTCGCTCAATCGTGAAAACGCTGCGGGTCGCGTTGCCTGTGCTGTGGCAGTGGCAACATCCCCCTCCCCGTGAGGGTGAGTGGGACCCTCAACCTCACTGCGTTTAGCTACGTCAAGCACAGCAAATTTGAAAACCGGTCGCCGGAACAACCCACCAGGTGTTTGAACCACCGCCTGCCTAACTCTGCAAACTCTGCCTGTTGTCACATCCAGGACATGTCCACGTACCCATCCGTTCCTTCTGGTTTCGTCGATCACCATCACCAAATCTCCACATTTAACCGGTTTTGTCTCACCAAACCACTTGGTATGTCTCGTTAGTGTTAGCAGGTATTCCATAATCCACCGCTTCCAGAAATAGTCGATGCGCTGCTGTATCAAGTCCCAAGACACTCGGATAGTTGATGAAGTGGTTTGAGGTCAGCGCTTCTTGCTCCGCAGAATCGCAGGTCGCGAGTTGACGATCGCTTCGACTTCAACCACTAACGTTTGTAGTCCATCGTCATCGAGCTTGGGATCCTGGGGTTGGTTAGTCATCGTGTTCTTGATGGAGCGCACCATAAGCTCCCACGATCCTCCCATATGTTGCGCGGAATGTGGAATGAACAACCACTTCGTTTCCGCGTTGGTACATGTTGTCGCTGCGTCCTGTTCGATACGCTGGATTTGATCCCGCAACACCCGATCTGCTCCGGAAAAGTTCCGTCCATTGTCGGAGTATATTTCGAGTGGTGCTCCCCTTCGGCAGACAAAACGGCGTAAGCAGGCTATGCATGACTTCGTTGATGGATGCACTGCACGTATTGTGAGGCACATAATCAGGCAGATCCATTGTTTCACTGAAGACCGACCTACCTTTACCAGAATAGGCCCGAAGTAGTCGACGCCAATATAGGTGAACGGGCGAACACTAGGTAACAGGCGTGCAGACGGGAGAAGACCCATCCTAGGCACCGTTGGTCTTGCTTTATACACCTTGCACCATTGACATCGCTCGGCTACCTTTCGAGCAACAATTTATAGTTGAGCAACGTAGAACCGTTGACGTATTTTGTTGACCACTGTTTCAGAATTGCCGTGTACAATCGTTCGATGGTAGCTGTCTATGATGAGATTGGTGACTCGGTGATTTCTGGGTAACATAACGAAAAACTTCACGTCACGCCCTTTCGCTGCAGATATCCGACCATCGACTAATAGAACTCCTTGTTCATCGATCATTAGTGACAGTCTCCACATGGGGCTTGACTTCTCCAACTTCATTCGTTCAGGCGCAGGCGACGTTTTGCTCTTCGTTAGTATTACCACCTCATCACGATAAGCCTCCGATTGTGCGAGTTTCCAAAGTAGAGCTTCCGCAGCCTGCAGCTCCTCTTGCGCCAAACCTGCACCGCGGTTGCTCACGTAGGATTTCTTTCGCTTTAAAAAGTTTACAAAACGGGTCACGTAAGCGGTTGTCCTTAGGACTTTGAGAAACGTTCGAAATTTATCGGATTGTGCAAGATAGCACGCTCGAAGATCTTCGTCGGTACTATCGAAAAGCTTTTGTCTGTTTAGGCAATTTTTCTTCGGGTAGTAGTAGAAAAGGTGGACCACTGAACCATGCCAACGTTACTTCAGAGTCTGACCAGTAGACGCAACGGTTGAACTGAACGGTGTGACTTTCCTTCACGAACGAGAGTAGACGAACACCTAGGACCGCCGTCATCAGCTCCAATCGAGGAATGGAGACGTACTTCAATGGAGTAACCTTCGTTTTCGCTGACACCAAAGCACATTCCACCGTCCCAGCCGACTTGACTACCCGGAAATACACTACTGCAGAATACGCTGCTTCGCTCGTATCGACGAATACGTGGGTTTCCAATGAATTCTATAGATTGGCAGTCGCATTTCGGAAGTAGCACCTCGGTAGTCGAACTTAATTTACGTGTTCCAGCCAATCTATCCACCTCTGCCAAGTTTCATGGACTTTGTCGTTGATGTGCTCGTCCCATTGGATTCCGCTCCGACAAATATCTTGCATCATAATTTTCCCGTTGTGATCAGTGCCACGATTTCTTCCCTAAACGACGTTGAAAAGCACAGAACATCCGCTTACGTGTACCACAACATGCCCAGAACGCACTCTGAATCAGCCTTCAACGACAAATCTTTCATTTTTTCCTTCGTTGGTTTCCCAAATGCTCCAGTACAGCTTGATCATTTGACTACCAATTTCGAATTTCGAAGCCTCCTTTCGAGTGAATCCATTTTACTTCACCTGCTACTGACTTTGCTTTCTCAACCGTCTCGAAACTGTCGAGATAACCGTCACAGTAGTGGCATTGCCTCCGATGCTCTCGGAAAACTCTTGCGGGTTCCGTTTCTTGACGAACTGTGCAGATGAGGGAGAACTGGTGGCTCCAAATGTCAAGACGTTCATCACGAAAACGACTTTCGCGGAACAGGAAGCTTTGTGAAGGTTGATCGCGTTCGATTACTTTGGCCTGGTGGAACTTTGATGTCTCCACTCACTACTACCGGATATTGACCGAAACGAAATTAGACGGATGGAAGTGGTATAAGAAGATCCGGTCCAGGGAGTAAAAAGGAATTCAAATTCGGGTTGCAGACGGTGCCTAACGGAAGGTAACAAATCCGTCTAAGATCGGCCTTGGCCAATTCATCTTCCGTTGCTCGACGGGCATACCCTTTCTCCTGGTACTCCGTCACTTAAGGAGCGGATCTCGCTCCATTCGCTTCTCCAAACACTCTAGTCGTCGCATGGCCATTGAGTAGCTATCGTGTAACTCTACGTAGTCGGTTCTCCACAGAAGTCCC